TCCAACAGTAATGAGATGGATAGATCATGACATTTTTGTTCAGTACAGTGAACAATAATGAGGATGAATAAGCCACACACAAGCACACATGGATGAATCTGTGGTGGGGAAACAAAACCAGACACTATACCAGTCTGTTTATTTATAGTTAAAAGAAAACAGACAAAATTAAGGTATGATGTTTTAGGGTCATGGTCCCCCTTGAGGCGTGGGGGTGCTTGTGACTCCGAGGGAGCATATATGGAGGGACTTCTTTTTTTTTTTCATCTGGGTGCTGGTTCATTTGAAAACTAATAGCACTAGAAACTTCTGATTCATGCTCGTCTCTAAATGCATCTTATACTTCATAATGCATCTTATATCTTATACTTCATAATGCATCTTATATCTAACATACTGAAGGAACAACTATAAAGCTACACAGGTTGTTCACCAGGTTTCTGGGGGTAGGTTTTCATAATGGATGTTCTTTAATAACTTCTTTATTCATAATTCATGTCATCATAACTGTAGATCTCCGATTCCAAGTTAAACTTCATTCAAGGTATTTGGGAAGTTCTGGGAGACAGTGGTAAAGCGAAGGTGAGGTGGTGGGACTTAATCTGACTCAGGTGCAGCCTATAAGGAGGGTCTCTCTCTCTCTCTCTCTCTCTCTCTCTCTCTCACTCTCTTTCTCTCTCTCTCTCTCTGTAGAGACTTTATAAAGAGTGGCAAAACCATCCTTTACTATGTATCCACAGTTCTAAATAATGTCATTGATAAAATATTCCTCAAGTCCTCTGTTGGTTTAAGTCCTAAATAATTGAAGTTACTGAATATTTTATATATACAAAATATACATGTATATGTTTATTAGCTCTCCCTTGCTGGACACAGTACTTATCACCCACAGCTTAAAGGAGTTGAGATTTAATTTGGTTCACAGTTTCATGGGGGCTCAGTCCATGGTCAGCTGGCTTCATGACAGAAACCATGGCAGAAGAGGGTGGTGGAGCAAAGCTGCTTGATTGATGGCAGCCAGCAATCAGAGCAGGGGAACAGGAAGGAGCCACATCTCTCTGACCCACCCCCACACACCCAAAAGGGCATCACACCAGTGTTCTGGTGGCTCCCAAGCCCGTAACACTGACACAGTCAAGCTTCAGCTTAGCACACATATTACTTGTGCATTATATTGCTTATCTTTTAGTGATACACATGAATGCGAGGTATAATTCATTTCCAGAATAGATTCTTAGCAGTTTGGAATCCTTCCAACAGGCTTCAGGTGGAGTTAGAGTCAGTGCCCCTGCTGTGCTACCTCTTCCACTCCTTATAACCTATTTGTAGATGAGCCACAGCATTGCATAGGGGAAGCACTTGGTTACTTCATTTCTCTCATTCTCTGTTGCTCCTTTCAGAGGCTATTTACAATGTTAGGCAACTGAAATAAAGTGCTAATTAATAACGGGAAATAATGATCCACTCAAGGTGTCAAATTTGCTAGGTTTGCTACTGCTGTAGGACAGCTACTTTCCCTTCTGCAGGCAAACTCAGAGGATGGAACCAGGAGGGTTGTGGAAACTGTCAGCAACTCAGGGTCATGATGAGTACCAGTCTAAACATGGTTAAAAATGAATGCTTTTAAATTGTGTATTTTAACAGGTTGTTTTCTATATTTTAAGTAACTTGAGGTTGACACTTTCTTTTTGTAGAACTACGGACTGAACTCAGGGTCTTCACACTGAGCTTTCATCCCTGGCCCTAAGTCACACACTTGCTTCAGGCTTCCAGAATGCTGGGATAATAGCGTGTGCCACCATGCCCGGCTGAGATTGACACTTTTTAATGAACATTTGGCTCCATCAACTTGCCTGCTTCCCCACCCCCATCATTTATTTCACGTATTCCTTCCCACATGTCCCTCCTTACACCACAAACGCCAGATTGCTTGAGTTGTTGACCAGTCTTTCAAAACAGTTTGATATTTTAAAAAGTTTGTTTAAATCACCATATTAAATTGCAATATTAGCTCACTAATATTATGTGTCTTCATAGCACATAATCACTCATTTTCAAAGCTACAAGTTTCTTAAAACTGAAAGAAGGAAAAATAAAAATAATTGGCAACATCCTTTTCTACTCAGCATAAATGTGTTAGTACTGCGTTGTTGGAAAACATCCTGAATACTCACCGGTAGAATGTAACTTATCATGCGTCTGGGTAGCAGAGCAGCGTGCAGTCCTGAAAAGGTACAGCTGTTGGTATTTTTTAAATGACCATCCCGCTGTCAGTCTATTCAAGTTTTAAGATGGATTATTATAAAACAAGATTGAGAAAAAATATAGTGCTGTTTGTGCAGAAAACATATTTGTTTGACTATCTGCTAAGTATCTAAGGACTCTTGAAAAATGGTTACCTCTGGTTACTTCTGGAGAGGCAGACAATTTCATAAGTAGAAGTAAAGCTGTATACACTCATTTTACAATTTGTGTCTCATTTGCTTTGTACATACACTGAAAACATTTTTGACATTGCTGAAACTGGAGGTGGCAGAGGCAGGGAAAAAATAAAAATAAAAATGCTGAAATTGTTTGACATAAACTAACATTATAGTAGTAAGAGCATGTAAGTCCCACCGAACAAAAAGAACATCACTAATAAACCCACAGCTGCAAACACCTGCCACTTTGCAGTGTCGTATGTTCCAGGATGTGATCAGAGCAAGACCAGAGTGGTTCCTGCAGGCTCCCTTGGGTGCAGCCTGATGGTCAGTCCAGTGCCCGAGCTCCCTGGTACCTGGATAGTAAGGCACCTTTCTCTCCCAGAGGCTGCAGCACAGCTTGGGAAGCTCAGGTGCAGACTGCAGCTAGGGAAGGGCCTCATTTCCCACTTCGCTGCTCTTCTGTGGAGCCAAAGGTTAAACCCTTGAAAGTGAGAAGAATGCACTGTGGGGGTTTTTATTTATTTATGACTAGTGCCCCTTGCAGCTCCATGGAGCACAATGTGAGAAAGCTTACCACATTTATGGATGTGTAAAACGAGTGCCAGTAGAGGCAGATTGGAAACCAGTACAAAGAGCTGCACACTGGTTGGTAGAAGCAGCTAGGCTGGGACAAGGCATTACTGTACACTGAATTGAGCTTGGAATTTCTTGGCACATGAGTTGCAAAGGGGAATATAGAGTACATGGTTCTCTCTTTGAAGGCAGAAAACGTGAAGTTTTGCTAAACAGGATGGACATGTTCCTGATATTGAATGCAAAGAGGAAATTCAAATGCAAGTCTTTATTTTAAAATAAGTAGGATGACTCATATCTTCACGGTGGCTAGTACCTGAGAAGGGATTGAAATTATCGAGTCCAAATGTGCTGAATCTCCCAAAATGGAAAATCTCATTTGAAGATCAGATCTTCCCCACTGTGTCAAGAGCCGTCATGGTATTCCATATCTCTTGCATTTGGATGACTATACTGGATGCCATTTCTGTGTCTACACTACTTCTTTTTCTCTTCTCCAAATTGTGGTTAGAGATGCCTTTTTGGATCTGATCTCCTTAGCTTGGATCTAGCAGTCAGTGCTGCTATCCTGCCTGCTCAGAGCTCCTTGGTCCCCACGGTCTCAGGATGGAAGATCCTCCTGCCTCCCTCCCAGCTCCTCTCCACTTCGCAGGCTCCATCCCACCCACCCTTTCACAGTCCCGCTTTCCAGCCCTGGTCTCTCCCTTCGGGAATGCTCCTTTTGCCTAGCTGGGGCCTCTTTCTTTGGATCCAGGCTGTAGGGCTTTGGAGAGCCCCTCCCCTCTCTTTGTTCCCCTGTCCCTCTGTACTACTGTCCCTGGGACTTCCCTCTCATCCTCATGCCTTCCTTACTAAATCATTAGCCCCAAGAGAGCAGGCTCCGGCCCAGCCTTTGCTCATTCTGCTCCCCAGCTCTCCACACAGAGCCTGGTGTGTGAGAGGGGATGCGCAAGTAATTAGCAACAGCCTTCCACTGTGGTGCTAAGCTGCAGTTCCACAGACAGGGAGGCTTATAAAGAACAGATCTAGCCCTCACATTCTTGGGATCTGGGAAGGCCAGGTTAAAGGAACCATTGTCTTATGAAGCCTCACTGCACCCTCACCCTGTGGAAGGCAGAAGACTAAGAGAGATAGCTCATTTCAGAGACAGACAGCTCATTTCTGAAAGCCCTCTTATACAGGAATTAGTTTGCCTGTGAGAGCAGAAACCTCAATACCTCTCAAAAGGCTCCATCATCCAACGCTGTTGCTTTGGGGGTTGGCTTTCCAACACACAAATTTGGGGGACACATTCAGGTAGATCATAGCAGTGATCTAAATACTGCAGTGGCTCCATCTCCATACAAACTTACGTTCACTGTGACCTCCTTAGAAGCGGTGCCTTCCACTGTCTGCATTCTGGCGTGTTTGGTGTGATATTTACCGTCTACCCACATGGTAGTTATTTATGTTTGTACTTATCTCACACATTAGGTTGTGGCCAGGTCCTGTCTAGGATCTAGCGTGAGCCTCCCATAGTACTTGAGAAAAATGTGTGAAGTGAGGGGCACTAATTTAGCATCTTTGTAAGCCAGTCTTTAGGAAGATGCCTGTAACTTCTAGCAAAGTTTCTGTATTGCATGTATCACACATGGCCAGTTGGCTACGAAGTCTCCTGTTCTCAGTCTCTTGAAAAATTAGTGAATTCATGTCCAGCTTTCTGCACATACCTGGGACCTGAGGATATTTTGTTGGAAGAAACAGTGTTATACAGATGCTGAATGCAAGAAAGTAAAACAGAATAGGTACAAGTAGCAGGTCATTTCCAGGAAGCATTTTCCAGGTTGGCATCCTCTACAGAAAGTGACTGCTGGACACTTGTTTTTAGAGGGGCATCTCTGAGCTACCTCCAAGCCACCCTTCCACTGCCCCGCCACCAGGTGCCATGCCCTAGCCTTGGCTGCTTGTCACCATGACTCCTGGGATGAGAGAATAACCCCACCCCCATTTCCTTCCCAACAGGCCGATTTAAACTGCAATATTCAAGATGATGCTGGGGCTTTTTATGGTGTAACCAGTCAGTACGAGAGTTCTGAAAATATGACAGTCACCTGTTCCACCAAAGTGTGCTCCTTTGGGAAGCAAGTAGTAGAAAAAGTAGAGGTAAGTTGGCCTCCACAGACAAGAAACTTCATTCCAGGGCAGCTGCTGCCTTCCTTTCAAGGTTCACAGGGGCAGAGGGTTGGACTTTCGATGTCTTCTCCTTTCCCTCCCCTTTTCTCAGTCTTTCCTCTGTAGCTTTGAAAAGGCAAAATGATTTGGAAGCGCTTGAAAGCAGGTAGGAAATCCTGCTCAGCCCTTGCTGTGTCCGAAGTCAGCATTGTCCAGCCACCTGATCACCTTGGCATGAAGCTTTCTAGGGGTTTGGGAGGGAAGTGGGTGAAGGTGGACCTTAGCACCTACCTCCTGGTGCGGGCACACAAACACACACACACCCTCCCCCCGACTGTTTAGAGAACTGTCAGGGTGGTCTGTAGCTGACTGGCATCTGCCTTCTAAAACCCTGACCTCTTGGGTTTGATATTGTTGGTTTTGCTATTTCTACTCTCTTCCTTTTAATTGTTTTAGATACATTTAATTCTGTATTAGGATCAAATAGTTCCTTATAGCTTTTACATTTCCTGTCTCCCTCCTATTGAAGAACTGCATGTTTGTGTTATCAGGATTTATTTGATTGATTAATGGATTGAACCCAAGAACTTTGCACTGAGCTGTATTCCCAGCCTTATTTTATTTTATTTTTTTTAATTTTGAGACAGAGTCTCACTAAATTACCCATGCCGGGCTCACACTTGTGATCCTCCTGCCTCAGCCTCTCAGAGTGCTGGGATTTGCAGTTGGCATTTCTTGCAAAGCTGTGCCTTCCAGTGTCTTCTGCCCTCCCCCAGTCAGTCCCTCTTCAGTGAGGAGTTTTTATTGCAGTAGGTCCAGGCCTCCTAGGACCAGGAGTGTAACCTGGTGGTGGCAGAGGCTTTGTGCTGCCCTGTAGGGGGATGTATTTGTTGACCTGACCCTCCCAGCCTGCTGCAGGCAGGTCGGAGTTTGGACCCAGAGCGCCAGGCAGAAGAGGATCTGAGTGAGTTGGTTTGATCATCACTGAAGTGTAGGACTCCTGAGCTCTCCTGAAATAATGTCAGAAAGAAATCTTGGGGCTGGGGATATAGCTCAGTGACATACGTGCCTGCCTGGCAAGCACAAGGTCGTGAGTTCGATCCCCGGTACTGCAAAAAAAAAAAAAAAAAAAAATCTTGAATGGCATCTAGAAACTGCATGCAGATTAAAGATTAAAAAGGAGGAAGAATCGAAAGTGAGGTTCATACAGTAGTGGAGGTAAGGAAAGAGGGTGTGCCGGAGGAAATAGGGGATGATTAGAGGTGCAAGACTAGAATTCAGGAGATGGTAGAGACTGGATTTTCAACTGGGGATTCTATGTTTTAAGGATAACTGAAGCTGGGGGAGGAGGGGGCCCGCTGCCTGGAGTGACAAGGGCGCAGCAGCCAGGCTTGGGTGAGTGGGAGGGAGACACAAGCAGAAGAGCAGAGGCTACATGCTGCCTGGGAAGCCCCAGGAGAAGCTAAGAAGGTGATGGGGCTGGGAGATCTCAGCGGTGAGTACTCGTTGTATAAAGAAGCAGTGCTAGTAGGTCTCCTTGTAGAGTTAGCATGTTAGTGATAGTTTGGGCATTTTGCCACTTAGTATTATATTTACTGTTGGCTTTTATGCTAAAGTGCTTTCTTTTCTCTTTATATATTTATCACATACAACATATTTTGAAGTATTACATGCAGTGTGGAATGGCTGAATAAGTTAATTCCCACATGTAATCCCTCTTCTGTGGTGACAGCGCTTAAAATCTTGCCTGACAGTTTTCAAAAATCAAACGCCTTGGTATTAACTACAGTCACTGTTGTACGATAGATCCCCTGAGCTTACCCTGCTGACTAGCATCATGCCCTTTGTCGTCCCCATCTTCCCAGTACTCTATCGCTGAACAGATGGATACCTCCCTAGTCCTGGTCCTTCCCACAGTTAGTGTCCTGTTGATATTTTCCACTTTTTTAGGATTCAGTATTAGTAGTTTGTGTTTTCTGGAAACATCTCTGTTCTCTGGGTTTGCTTTGCTTTGTTTAACCTAAAGTTATGTAAAGTGCCTAATCTCTACTGTAATTGCTCTTCTGCTTCTTTTCTTTCTTCATCTTTTTTTAAGCATGTCAAGGGTTTATTTGGTCTTTTGGAAGAACCAGTTTTTAAATGCATTCTGTCCACATTTTTAATTTATACTTCATTGATTTGCTCTTTCATCATTATTAATTCCCATTCCTGGCTTCCTTTGATTTGTGGTTTGGTTTTCTTTTGTGGGTTTTTTTGTTGTTTTTTTTTTTTTTTTTTTTTTTGTCCTTTTAAAAGTTGATCTCACTCCAATTTTTTTTAATTTTAATGTGTACTTAGTGCTGCAGTTTTTTATTATTAGTGAAGAGGACATATGAGACGGCTTCCCTAAGTCTCACCAAGTAAAGTTTTACTCTGTCCCATAAGTTTGGATGCATTTTCCTTTTCACTGCTCTTTATGGAGCTTACAATAAAAAAATAAAATATTCTTTAGCTGTCATCTTCTTTACTTATTTTTTTAAACTTTCAGAAAAATGATAGATTGTGTATATAGAATACTTCAGATTTAGGATTTTTTTTCAACTAAGTAACAAATTTTTTGGACTGGAAGGGTAGCAAGTCACGAGGCAATCAATACCAACAAGTTCTAGCTTGCCACCTGAGTACCAACAAACCCAGATAAAATTTTTGCATCAAAACGCATGGAGTACAAAACTCAAGGAGTTTCAAGGCACTGAAGTACCAAGGTGTGACAGCCATGGCAGTTTCTGGTCTTTTGAAGTCACAAGTGTAAACATGTTCACATTCCTTTGTCCTCACAGACAGAGTATGCAAGGTTCGAGAATGGCCGATTTGTGTACCGAATAAACCGCTCCCCGATGTGTGAATATATGATCAACTTCATCCACAAGCTCAAACACTTACCAGAGAAATATATGATGAACAGTGTTTTGGAAAACTTCACTATTTTATTGGTAATGGTCTTGTCTCTTTTCCTGTCTTGGCAGAGTCTGCCATGAGGCTTGTTGACTGTAAGGAAGGTGGGCCAGGGGGCCCCAAGACCTTGGCCAAGGGTACATGGCTGTCACCTGCGACCCCACGTGGTCAGCTAGCAGTTGATTCACAGCATCTATGAGCACTTGGGCCACATCTGGGCTGGACTGCATAGAAGGGAAGGGGTCTCATCTGGCTGAGGTGTCTAAGCAGGCAGAATGAGAGAGTTCAGGTGGGTGGTCAGAGCAGTGGTCCTGGATTATCAACTCTGGTTGCACATTAAAGAGACCTGGGGACCTTATAAAAATCAGGCTGAATGCTGCATGAGTTACATGAGGATCCTGAGGATAGGACTCAGGCATGTGCATTTCGTTTAAGTTCCTCCACACAATTCCAGCAATAGCCAGATTGGTCTCAGCAGCTGTGTGCAATAGATAACCCTAAGCAAAACAAAGGCAGAGTCAATAGAGTTGTACTTCAAACATACCTTGACTCATTTCATGAAGGATTTCCAAGGCCTTGTAAGAAGAAACATGCCCTAAAATAGAAAATAAAGTGTCAGGACCAAAAGAAATATAAATTAGAGTGGAATGCAGTGAAGAGGGACTGAAGGACGATATCCTCCATAGACAGAAAAATGTGGACAAAGCTTAATGGGTAGCTGGAGCGAAAGGAAGGGATTGTAGTACTCAAAGTCCATGAGGGGAAAGCTCCTGCCCCCGGACAGTGGGCTATGTGTGGTGTTTCCTCCGAGATTTAACTTTAAAACATGTTTCTCTTGGGAACTTCATTTGGAAACTTGGTAAAGTTATTAAGAACAGTGTTGTTCTCAAAATATGCTTATAAAAATGCAGTAATGAGTTTCCTAAGGCTCATCTTTAAAAAGTAACATTCCTTGATTACACTGAAGGGAAAATGCCCTCTAAAAAACTTTGTGGAAACAATTTTGCTGAAAAGGCTAAATTGCGGTCAAATACTCAGCCCTCTGGAGGCCTGCTTTATTACTATTTTTCACCAGAATTAAGAACTAGAAGATTTCCAGGAGGAATTCTTTATCTGTTGTTTTGGTTGCCTTAATGCAGTGGTTCTCAATCAGTGAAGTAGTGGTTTAAAAAAAAAAAAAAAAAAAAAAAAAAAACGAAAAACAAGCTCCCCACCCAATTCCAAAAACCTATTTTATACCTTTACGTTTTGCCTGTTTTCCTGGTGTGAGTTCCCCTCACACTAGG